TGGGTGCAAGGAACAAACAGTAAGCACATAAGTCCCACCAACTGCCTCAAAAAAGTTGGGGAACCTCAGGGATACTGAACTATGAATAATCTGATAATTACCGTATTTTCCGGTGTGTAAGGCGACTGGGCGTATAAGACGACCCCCTAATTTTCTAGTTAAAAGATAGGTTTTTGTCTTATACTCGCCGTATAAGACTACCCCGGGAGCGAAGTCCTGATCAGATGCGCATCTGATCAGGACTTCGCTCCCGGGGTAGTCTTATACGGCGAGTATAAGACAAAAACCTATCTTTTAACTAGAAAATTAGGGGGTCGTTTTATACGCCCAGTCGCCTTACACACCGGAAAATACGGTACCGTATTTTCCGGCGTATAAGACGACCCCCTAATTTTCTAGTTAAAAGATAGGTTTTTGTCTTATACTCGCCGTATAAGACTACCCCGGGAGCGAAGTCCTGATCAGATGCGCATCTGATCAGGACTTCGCTCCCGGGGTAGTCTTATACGGCGAGTATAAGACAAAAACCTATCTTTTAACTAGAAAATTAGGGGGTCGTTTTATACGCCCAGTCGCCTTACACACCGGAAAATACGGTACCGTATTTTCCGGCGTATAAGACGACCCCCTAATTTTCTAGTTAAAAGATAGGTTTTTGTCTTATACTCGCCGTATAAGACTACCCCGGGAGCGAAGTCCTGATCAGATGCGCATCTGATCAGGACTTCGCTCCCGGGGTAGTCTTATACGGCGAGTATAAGACAAAAACCTATCTTTTAACTAGAAAATTAGGGGGTCGTCTTATACGCCGGAAAATACGGTACCAAACTATGTAAACTGGTGCGACCATACCTTCCCCATGGTATCGCACACCTGCATGACAATGGCCCCATTTTTTATATGTAAGTCTGTTGGCTTCCATCAGAGTGGTTTGCTGTGGACCAGCAATATTAAGTGGTTGCCAGCTCCCAGGTGGCAATGGTGACTTGCTTTTCAACAGGTAGGAGACACCACCTGGGCTGCCATCATAACTCAGAGGCCAGTTCAGCACAGATCTCCAAAAAAAGGCTGCCTTTGCCACCCTAAAATTCATTCATCACTGCTGGTCATCTCAAGTCTGCAGAATGATCCTTTCCCAGCAACTGACACTGGTTTCCCAAGCTCAGAAATGGAACTGTATTGTTCCTGTAGCAGCTCCTCTAAGTTGCTTGGGATCCTCTTCTTCATCCTTGTCCTCATCTTCCATTTTCCGCTGCTGGAGGCTCTGCTGCTGCAACCACATCATCTGCTTGGTGGTGTGGCAGATTAAGTCCAAAACCAAAGTCACCCGGCTCGAGCTCAAGTAAATCCCAGACGGCCTCTGTGCATTGGAGGTTGCACCTGTAGCCATGGGGAGCCCTGTAGGAGCTATAGTGGCTGACAGTAATTTGAAAATGGTGCTAGCCCACCCAGAAAGAGTGGAAGCATGGGGCACCCTAGGACATAAGCAAACTATTTTCCCCAAGCTTTGTTATCAGAAATGGCTGAACCATTCACCTGAAACAAAAAAAAACAAAAGAGAGAGCCTGAGGCAAACAGCTGGCATTGAAAATTCCAGCCCAAATGGTTAAATATTGGGAAAATTATAAACATATAGGCCCTATAACTACTGGGAACCTTAGAAATGCTTCATAACCTCCGCAGGCCCATGTACATTACATATGCACTGTTACTGAAGAGGAACTGCATTATCTGAAGTTCTTTGTGAAAGGAAGAGAAGAGGATTTATCATAGCACTTAAAAGAATCACTGGGGCCCAGCATTTTACATAATGTTAAAAATGCCTCTGCAGCTCTTATGTTGTGCTTGATGCAACAAAAGGTTTTGTTTAAAATTATTGACTGCTAAATAGGTTGCACAAGATAAAGGCCTCATCCTCTGTTTGTTGTCACTTCAGTAAGGAAAATGGGACCCTGATGCATGAGCTATGGGCAAGAGTTAAAATGGTGCTCAATTTCAACAGCCAAACCTCTTCTGAATATGATATCCTAGGTTATGTACCTGCTAAGGTGGGTTTAACTCCACCACCTACCAAGACTTTCGTTCTTGAAGCCTGCAATGGTCACTAAGTGCATGATTTTACCAACAAAAGAAGAAGAAGAGTAGACGTATGTGGAGGATATCAGTGGTATTCAGAAAGAAGGAATGTCTTGCCATTACAGAGTAATTATATAATTTCAAAGAATTACGGGACCTGTTTTTAGATATGTTCAGATTAAAAATGTTAACTGCTCAAAGAAAGCCAAACTTCCATTCCACCTAACCACTTCTGCTTTTCCCTGCCTTCCCTCGTTCCTTCCTTTTCTCCTTTTCCTAATTATGTATATCTTCCTCTATTTTATTACTGAAATCCCCCTCTGAAAAATGTTATGTCCTTGTAGTACTGTACAATTTTGTATTGTCTGGTCTTGCAGCTTTGACAAGTTATAAAACTGTAAAATTCTATCAGCTATCCCATGAAGTGTGTGGTATTTTGAAGCCTATCTTTTTGTATTTTATAGCCTGTTTTTTCATATAAAAATCAATACAAAGACAGAAAGATCAAGCAGCT